ATATATATATATATATATATATATATATATATATATATATATATATATATATAGTGCTGACATACTAGTTTTAGTTCTGACAATCAGACACTACAAAAATAAGCAAAGAAAATAACAAAATACTATATGCTCACATAAAAAAACTCAGATTAGCTTGATGTAATGGTATATTGGTATATTGATTTTACAAATTACATCCATAGCTTAGGATTAATATTCATATTAGCTAAAGGGATAATTTTTTAAAAAATATAAAGTAATTATTTATTACATCATCAATAATGAAAGTTGAATTTGTAACATATTTTGAAACTATAAATCAAGCATTATAATTACAAAATTTTATTTCAAAACTTAGTGTGGTCAACTCAATTATAGATCATTAAAGATATTTTGTAATAATACTCCTGTAGTTTTATTCTCTGAATGATAAGTATCTAATAGTTTCAAGCATATTGAGATAAAACATTTGGTGATTAAAAATAAAATATAGAAACAGTAAGTGTCGAGAACCTTATCACCACTTTGATAATTACATGATAATTACTAAAGAAACTGAAACATTAGAAATGAAGATTATAGATTTAGTTCTCCTTCGTGATCCACATCATTATATTTTTAGATTTGACGATAACACATTTGTAAATCAAATAAAGATTTTTTAAATGACATCGAAAGATGTGCTATTTATATATTATTATTTGATTTATTTCGATTCTAACATTAAAGTTTTTTACATGAGAGCAACATAACCATATTTTTTATACTTAGAAAAATTCTTCTCATAATGACTTGCCAATCTTATAATCACCAATTAAACATACACTGATATATTGATATGGAAGGTCTATAATATATATGGCAATCTTTTGGGAGCAAAAACGAAGAGATTTAGCAAAAAAAAAAATTGTATCAGTGATCCGACGGACTTATAAGCTTTGGTTCTTCTATTCGTCAATTAATATGGGACTAAATATCCTTATAATTGCTCGTGGCCCTCTTTCTAGCGCTAATGTTAAAATATTGTTACCTTGGTACTATTGATCGAGGAGTCAACACAACCTGATTTGATCCCGAAGGTACATATCTATCCTAGGGGCCCATGCTTGAGCTGGAGTGCGACCCGAGAGGGCAACCGAGCTAATAGGTGGACTCCCAAAGTATTGCAAGTTCTCAACGACTGACCTGTGATCATCTTGAGGAGGGACTTATCTATTGAAGGAAACTTGAGATCATCCCAAGGTGTACCTTAGCCTTGCCTAGAAGCGTATAAACGATCAGCCTATGATCACCCTGAGGTGCTCTGTATAAGCGATTAGTATTGAGGGATGTCCTAACCTGACCCCTTCGATACTTAAGACAATAAAGTAGATGAAAGGAGTTTAATAGAGTTCATAAGAGTTTAGATAAAACCTGCTTGCCTCTTGTCTGGTTTCGAGGGCTAGCTTTTTGACTTGATTCGTCAACCAAGGATGGCTATTCTAATTATTTAAATTCGATATTAGATGAAATTGTACAAGTGAATTTTTTTATAACCTTAGACCACGCAAGTCAAGAATTTGCCGATGTTTCTGATGTAAAGAATCTTCTTCTTTGCTAAACTCAACTCAGGTGCAGATGTTTATACTTGCATCCACAACTAACTATGATCATTGCACACACAACTTGAGAAGATACAAACCTCAAATGTTCAAAACGAGTCTATAAAACTTGCATAATTTAGCGAATTGTTGAAAACAACACTCAACCCATCAAGATCTCATAATTCCAAATGGAACAAACTGCTTTACTTTGTACCTTTGTATTTCTCTCTTTCTTTTTATCTGGCTGGACTCACATTATTCGTTTGCTTTTATCATATGTAGCTTTTATCTGTCAAATTCCGTAGCAGAAAAGAGATCGATGTCACCAACCGAAATCAGGCTTGTTACTATGGAAATCTCCCTGTTAAGCTAATATGGTCGAGAGTACGTCTGAGACCGTATTGATCGACTGCTCTATTGGCTGCTCTGAACCCATCTCCATATTCCGGTGAAACATCCGATTCAATTTGGTGTTTGAAAAATTCCCCTAGCTTTCTCTCGGTCTGAGTTCGGGCACCTTTTTTCGACGGCCTGGTGGACGAAGAGGAGGCAGCATTACTACCTGACCCTGATATTATTTCAGAGTCCAGCCACATATGAGCCAGCACCTGGCAGATGCCTTCTTCAACGTCAGGATCAAGATTTCGATATCCTGCAAACTCACAGTGCAGTAACCTCAGACAAATTGCAGTAGCAGATTTATGTTTCCAGTACGTATACTCATGAAGATAGACAACGGAAATAGCTTGCTGGTATTTGAACTGTTAAGACGAGGAACAAGAAAACAAGCAAGGAAAGATGAATAACAGTAAGTAAAAGTTCATATGGCTAGGATCATCACCATGGTTTTCAAGATTTCCTAACTGTTACTGCTTCTGTATCCTCCTCTAATAATTCTGATGTTGGGGTGGGGAGGGGGAGAGAGAGAGAGAGAGAGCGAGATAAATGTAGTACTATGCCAGGAACTAATGTATGGTTTCTCCTCCTAATGTAGGCCTCATAAAATCCTTTCCCTGGACCAAGGTGAGGCCAGAAGCCAAGAAGAAACAACGCCTCTCACAAACATTTTGGCTAAGTCATTTATATCTATGTATTTGTCTGCTATATTGTCTGATCCTCATGCTCAATTAATATCTAGAATTAGAATGACATGATTTGCCATTAAGGCATAACCAGAATGAGGTACATACCTTTAAGGCGTAACCATGCATGCATCATCTCATGAGCCAGTATTGACCCTGTTAGCAATCTGCATGTGAAGACAAATCCAAATATTAAAGCAAAATTTGCAAGGAAAAAAAAAACAGATGTCATCATTCACTAGTTTTGCTGGTGTAGTATTACTATCTCTATAAATTCCACCATTTTTCAATATGAGTATGACAACAATCTCTTGGTAAATATTGTTTTAGAATTTGATAAAAGAAAAGGCTCAGTGTTGAATATGTAAGTAGAGTTATGGTACTACAGCCAAAACGTGATAATCTTTTGAAAATGACTGTGAGATGTGATTAAGCTAACAATATCATATTGAACAGTGGAAAATAAATAAACATTACCTTGGTAGCCCATAGAGTATAAGAATTGCTGTTACTTCACACCGTCGTACCAGTCTATATGGCCCTGTTATCATATCTATGAGTCTGTTTCCAGGTCCAATTATTGGCCTCCTCAAAATCTAATGGACATTTCTTTCATCAATGAAATTAAACAAAACTATCACATCTAACTTGTAAAACGACTGGAAAATTGACAAGAAAAATGCCTAAGATTCTTACAGTTCTAACAATTTGTTCTTCAGAAAGACAAAGACCTCTAGTTTCAGGGAGGTGATGATGCCCCTGCACTCAAAAGAAAATTGTTAGCAATAGTCTAAGAAACTAAAGTTCATGTTCTGTAACTCAAAGGTTTTGTTCTTTGACTTACATTCTTTTCACCTTCCATGGCTTCATTAAGAGCTTGTCTCTCAACTAGAAGCAATGGAATCTGCTGTTCCACTTTCATATTTAAACCTTCATAGAATTCTTGTATATCAAGGTAAAGGGGTTGGCACTCGCTTGTATCCATTATTGAAAAATTAAGACACTCAAGACAAAGCTTACGGCCATCATCTAAAGTCACATATTTTGCGTCCATTGACTGAAACTCAACATAAGGAAAAGAAAGTAACACTGTATGAGGATGTTAAGGAACATCTGTTAAAATAAATAAAGCATAATGAAATTGGCATTCAGCAACAGCTATTATTATGTAAAAAATATAACAAATCTTGGAGAAAGATGAATTATTGTGAAGTGGAGGACTATCTCAGAATGACTATATGTACCAACCTCCATCCTTTCACAACTGCAGCACCTAGGAGTGCCATCACGCTCATGCAAAGGACAGTACTTTTGTCCCCAAAAAGGATGAGCTCGGTATTCAATTCGGCCATCTCTAATTTCTGGAATCTGCAGAAACATTTATGACAATAGATCCAGAAAAAAGAAATTCAGAACAAAAATAAATACTGGCATAAATAGCATGAACAATATTTAAGAGGCATGCTTCTTTAACCGCTTGACAGGACCCTATTTAATTGGGTAGATAGATAATTGGAGAGACATTTGACCTAGGATAAAAGATCTTTTTTTCATAAAAAGCAATTAGATGCCTTGCTCACTGGTCACACCTTCAAGAAACATAAGGATCCAACAATTAGACAATTAGGAGCAACTTTTGGTCCATACATTACTTGCATAGTTCTAATTGCTTGTAAATATACGTCCCTTGAATGCATGGATGACCTAATATTTCTCGTGGTTGAATATAATTCTCATTCAACAAAAGTACTGTAAAATTGTTTTTTCAGTGATGATCATCAGATGTCTAAATTACATAAAATAAAGGTCTTGAATACTAATTTGTACCAATTTCAACAACATGTTGGGCTAGTACAGTATCAAGATAACAAGTGAAAAGAATCAAGCCAAACCAAGACATATGTTCCATTACCAATACTAGGCCGGACTGCCCATGGTAGATAGCAGTCCGATTGGTATTTTAGAACATGCTTGAAACATGATATACATCATAATTTTATATATAGGTTGTATCTGCTTCCATTTTATATAGATAATTACCTATATTCACTATGGAATGCTCTTCTCAATAGCCAGATAAATACTTACAAATTGCTTGCAGACATCACATCTTGGGTGGAACAGTTTCCTGTAGCAAGACTTGTGATAAGGATGATTCTCGTACATAGAAAACTGCATCAAAAAAGCCAGTGAGACATAATCTAACCCAAAGATGACAACAATAAAATATCCAATTTTTCACCTCATGGTCATATATTGGTTTATTACACTCATGGCAACGAAAGCACTCTGGATGCCAAACAGCACCCATAACACTCAAATAGCGACCATGACCAACTTCTTTGTTACATCCCGCACATCTCCTAAACCAAAAATATATCAAAGCAATTATTTAGCACATTAAAAATCTAAGGTTACTATTTCTCAAAATAATGAAGAACTATCTTTCTTTAATCAATCCTAAGCCAAGAGGAGTTTGTCAAGGATGAATGCAAATTGCTATTGAGTGTATTTCAACTGGAAATTACATAGCATGATATATCTTGCTTAAAGCTATAGGAGCCATTTCTTGGATGGTCAAGTTGGTGACTTGTCGATTTGCAACTTAATTGAATGCATAAGAACATTAATTGAATTGCAACTTAATATCTTACACTATTTAGTTTGATTTCCACTTAGCAGTTCTAGCACCATAAGAACAATTTGGGTGCTTACACTTTTAGAGTAGTCTTCAGGATGAGAATGTTGTTTAGGTGTCAAATCCTGTCTTAACAAGTACAATGTTAACAACATCATCAACTATAAGAAGCGATAATAATCCTAATACTTGTTCAGGATTAATTTCATGTGTTTCAGGATGGGTTTTCAAAATTTCTGCTCTTAGTGATACATTTCCTTGCAAGCAGGAAATATCATAGATCATTTTACAATAGACTTGGTAAAGAATCCCGAATCCCATGCTTTGACCTGAAAATGGCCTTCAAGATTGTGGGTAGAATAGAAAAGGCTCAAAAATCAGTTGTTGTGATTCATTCAACAGTATATTCTGAAATTCTAAACCTTAATCATCATGCCACATGTTGAGTTTGCATCAAACAGCTGAATTAAACATTCAAGATGACAAGTTTTAGTTGAAGTAGAATTGAGAACATATTGGCATTTATGCACTGTTTGACGGGCTCTTTTCTAACGGGGCTTAAGGTTTTAAATGGATTGGCAGTGGTAAAAAATCTAACATCACAACCAAATAAATCCTGACTCATCTATCAGATTGGGGTTGTAAAAAAGTTGTCATTCATGTTGGACCCTTTATTAGGGGCTTAAGCTTCTGAATGGAAACGAAGAGGCTAAAATTTTAGCGCACTGCTGGTAGTAACTTTTTTAAAGGTTGATTCTTAGAAAAACATTATAGCACAGAGATTTATAACTGTCATGATTTATTGTGAAACTAATGAAATGATAAGAGAAGTAGGCAAACAAATCTGAAACAAGTACCTGGAGAATGAAGGAAAGAAAAAAGGATAAGGTTGATAAACTTGGCCATTTCGATGGGGAGGAGATTCTGTAAATAAACTCTCTTGCATAGCCCTTGCAAGCTGTTCATCTTCCTCCAGATGAGATTTATTGTCTAAAGAAAAGAAACGTATGATGTTTGAAGAAAATTATCTATCAAAGATAAGTAAACTAAGATTATACCATGGCCTCATGCACAAAGATAAATGAAACAAGTCGCAGATCTGTAAATGCAAAAAGATAAATGCAAAAGGATAATGGAATTTCAGTACCAAGTTGCCGATCTGTAAATGCTGAGAAACAAAAATATTGTATATGAACTAATTTTGAGATGTCATGACTAAATCATCGGTAGTGATGCAATAGATGAAGGCTCGCAGCTAGAAGTCCCAGTGATTTAAAAAGCGCTAGACGTCAAAAGGCGCCAAGGTCCACAAACGCCCGAGGCGCTAGGCGCTCGCCCGAGCGAAGCGAGGCGCTAAATTATAAAAATATATAATATAATTATTTAAAATTTTAAATAAAAATATGCTATTGAGTTGCTCTCTACACTTGCCATTTATGTTGAAACCTAATAATAATTTCAAATAAATAAAAATTAACAACATTAAAATCAAAATAATATATTATTAATCTATTAACAGAAAATTAATCATTTCAAAATTCAAATAAACTTAATATTAAGAGTATACTGAGCCTGATGGAGAAACGAGGAAGCAGCGGCGAGCGGCGGCAGCAGCAGCGGCAGCAGCGGCGAGCGGGAAAGGGAAAGGGAGCGGAAGGCGC